AGGGTTTAGGGTTCAAGGCTTTAGAGTTTAGGGTTCCGGGGTTTAGGGTTTAGGGTTCAGGATCCGGATTCAGGGGGTTGAGGGTTCCAGCTCGGATGAAGGGTGCTTTCATACGCATTATCAGACAATGGTGGATTTAGGGTGTATTATCAGACATTACATAGACCGGGTTCGGTTCCACAGCTGGGCTACGTGGTTGTGTCAGGGTTCAGGATTTCAGGGATCAGGCGGTTCAGTAGCTTCATGGGGGTTGAGGGTTTGGATGTGTGGAGGATTCGTGTGCTTTCTATGGAGGGTTGCTTGGGCTTCATGCTGCAAGTTTGCAGAGTTTGTGTACATTGTGGTGCATACTTCGTTTTTGGAAGTGAGGGTTAGTAGGGTGCATGCACCTTTACGGTTGGGGTTTCTGACAGGGTTTCTATCTCCGTATTTAGGACAATTTGGATGTGCGTTTGTTGTTGAATCTGAACTAACAGTTGGTCCGTTGAGGGCACATGGTCTGGCTGCAGGCTAGAGGCTTTACAAGCGTCATTTCAGGTGAATCGTCTTTGAAATACTTGGACCTACCCGTCATAGTCCGTATATCACACTTCATAATAGATCCCAGCTCCGACAGAACCGTACTCTAATTACTCATAAACCCTAAGAGTCAAGGTAGTTCATACTCTGCCAAATACTAACTTACAAAACCACCATCCTAAACCAAGAAATATAGAAGCGTAAATAATTGCATTTGTTTTTGGGGGGGTCCTTCTTGTAATGATACTATAAAGGACACCAAAACCTTATTCTAATTATTAAGCCTCCTACATTACCTGATTATCAAGGTCCTTTTGACCTTAGGGCAAGAACTGGGAGCTAGGATTAGGGGGACCCTTGGGGATGTAGACCCTCTCAATAAGGTCCCTTTTAAGAGAGCCAGAAGTAGGGTTCAGAAGGGGTACCCCTAATAATACTACCTATGAATGCTCATGGCACAGGCCTCATGAATTTGGCTTCTGAGTCCCAGTGCTCCGAGTCTAGTCGGCGCTGCTTGCAAGTACTGTTGATGGACAAAATTCTGCATGACCCAAATATAGTATAGTATCATAAATCCCATAGTTTAGGTATATAGGGTCATGCAGGATTTTGTCCATCAACAGTATCAACCCTAAACCTAAATCCTAAACCCTAAACTCTGAACCCTACACCCTATAGCCTTTAGAAAGGGCACGGGACCTTGCTTAGTCTTAGATGTTCATGTTCGGGGGTCGACATGTAGATGTTCGGGGTTCGACATGTAGATATGGCACACCATAATTGGAGTGCGACCGTTATTCGTGTGAACCATGTCGAAGCATCCGCAAGTCCCGGACCTAAGAAGAGTCAATCGTGCGAGCTTGCCATTTCCTGCCGGTCTGTGATTTGCATCACCCACAACATACAGTCAAGATCAGTCATGTCCCGGCTTCCGGAACCGTTGCACCAGAGTTAGTGATATGATAGATTGTCCCAAGGCTCAGCATGGTCGATGTCCCTGGTTCACGTAGGCGGTTGCCCTGCTCCACTTGTTGGGCAACCGAGAATGGGACAACACGTAGTGATTGGTGAGATCCAACATCTTTGCTTTTGCGAGTTGTTATATAAAGGAGCCTAGTAATTACTCACGTTCAATCTTTGGCTCCCTAACCCTAAACCCTAAGCCCTAGTCAATCAAGCAACGCAGCACCTCTGAGGCTCTGATTGAGATTAACATGAAGCCAATTCGGAATTCGTCCTTGGTGACGGGTGTTTCCTCTTTGGTACATACGAACAGACGTACATACAGGCATACATACAGACAGGCATATTTACATAGATACATCTATACATAGATGCATACAGACATACAGACATACATACAGAAAGACAGGCAGACAGACAAGCAGACATTGATACACCTTTGTGAATACGAACATGACTTGAGGAACATTCGTCCACTATACAGCTAGTAAACCGGAGCCCTAAACCCTAAACCCTAAACCCTAAACCGGAGCTTATAGGGGTAGGCGTGAATTGTGCAACTGGAGTGCCAGAGATCGCGACATGTCCACCCCTTCTTCGACGGCCAACGTGCGGACTCAAGACGGCTTTGAGACCTGCTTCCGGTGCCCAAAGAGAGGCATCCTAAGGCAGCGAGTGTCCAAATCACCAAGCCCAAAGCTGCTCTTTTGCCTGTGTATATGATATATGTACATCTATATAAAAGTATTATGTATTGATTCATTTATATGAGATTTTTCCAATCAGGCATCTGCATTGGCCATCAGCATTTGGGTTCTTTTTGTAACCTACCCTAACACTCGGAGACTTGCGCGACTTCCATTCCAAAGTTGCGCGAAATGTCTAGTCCCAAGCCCCAGGATCAGTAATATAGGGGCCTTAGTAAGTAAAATAGGGTTTTGGGGCCTATTATACTAGAATTATACTAAGGAACCCCCGAAACCCTATTCTAATTATAAAGGCCCCTACATTGAGCCAAATTCCCGAAACTGAGCCCTAGAAGGCTTCAGCCATAAACCCGATGCCGACATGAAGCTACATCCCAAGCTCTACTTTAAACCCTAATGGTTTAGGGTTTAGGGTCCATAACCTCAAATGAAACTGACGATTTTCAAGTTTCAACGCATGGTCCTTCGGACCGCGAACCTCGCTGACGAGCTTGGGCCCCAAGGTCTCTATACCGTGGTTCTGACACTGCTGGCAGAGCTTAAGTATTGCCCACCTGTCATCGCAACACCTTTCGAGGCAACAGTCACCTCCCCAACCCTATAGAGGTCTGCATGAGTCGCAATAGTATCTCCTTGAGGTTCAGGTAAGATCATGTAAAATCATAATAGAATATGTCCCCCAAGCCTCATTTGAATCGCTGAGGCCTCCAAAGTATGCCCGAAACCGTTTAGCAGTGCCCTTCAGGCGGACATGCGGATCACCTTTGTGTGCAGGCCTCGATGGGCACTACACGATGTGCCGCGATTGCGCTTGGGGCCCTTGCCCTTTATGTGGAGAATCCCCAGGCCCAGGGTTTAGGGTTTAGGGTTTTAGGGTTTAGGGTTTAGGGTTTAGGGTCCCCAGGCGAACTGGAAGCTGTTAGGGTGCGGAGGCGGAGCTTTGCCTCTAGTCTCCGTTGCAGTTCCATGCCTGGGTTACATTATAGGATCCTGAATATAAGATTGGTTAAACCAAAAAAGGAACTACAATGGAGACTATATAGGTACTTGGAGGATCATGGGGCTTAGCAAGTATGGTTATACGTACCCTAATTGGGGTTACAAGTATAGCTACCCTAATCATAACCTTAGTTACTAAGCCCCATGATCCTTTAAGTAGGCTTGTATCGCTTAGGATCTTGAGAAGCTGTCGACTGAGACACTGGAGTGCGTTGGAGTTTCCGGGAAGTCGGTACCCAGATCTTCCAATCTACATGAATACGCCTTAAAGTGTAGTAGGATCCCCAAAAGGCATAGATTCCTTACTTAAGGCGTAATACGTGAACCCTAAACCCGAAACTCCATGACTCCCTCGAAGGAACCCTTTATAGGGGTATAGGGACAAAACGCAGAGGAGTGGAGGATGTGGAAACGGAGAGCAGCTTGCCCTACTCTGCCACAGACAGCTTGAGTGGCTTAGCAGTCGAGCAGGTAATCTGTAACTTTTTTTGGGTATTATAGCTGCTATACAATCCCAAAGGTTTACTTTTGGTTCCCCTAGGATACAGTACAGCTAAGGTGGCGTCTCGGAGGCTGTTGAAGCCGAGATTTCGGCGCGAATTCTTCGAGTTCTTCAAAAGGCCATACGTCCCGTGACTGCCATTGCTGTAGCACGGCAGTGCGCGCTGGAGTTTTCGAAGGACGTCAACCCGACACTCTACCGTTTGGAAGCTGCTGGAAAAGTTGAAATATGTTGGAATGACCAGCAGCCTTTGTGGAAGCTAGCATCGAGGGCAGAGCCACAGCCAACACAGCGAACGCAGGGGTATCGTGGTTCCATGCTGCCTGATGCAAGTGCGCCAGAAGAGGTGCGGCGGGACAATGCCATGGTAAAAGCCACTGACGGTCCCCTGGTGAGAAACATTCTGACCATCCTAGCCAAAGACGGTGTTCCGATGACCGCTATCAGCATCGCACGCAAGTGTGGCCTGGAGAGGGCAGCCGACGTGAATCCTACTCTTTACGCCCTTCTTAAGGAAAGCAGGTTGGTTAACAAAGAGGACGGACAGCCTGCGTGGGACCAGCATCCTTTGTGGAAGCTGTCATCGAGGACAGCGCCACAGCCAACACAGCGAACGCAGGGGTATCGTGGTTCCATGCTGCCTGATGCAAGTGCGCCAGAAGAGGTGCGGCGG